CCGACAACGTCCTAAATGTGGACATTGAACATTATATTAACTTTACTGGAACATTACTTGTAGGTAACGTTATCCAATGTTGTGGGAACGTTCTCTGCCAGCTGGTAATGTGGCTCAAGTTAGAAGAACTTTGGAGTTCTTAAATTAAAATGTAGAAATGTTCAGTTCCAATACATAGAAATCAGCAAAACTCAAATCTGTGCTTTGAGTAAATTAGAAAACGATTTTGACGACATTACTTTATGTTGTTTTTTAATTTCATACGGCATCAGTAATTGAAATAAGATTCTGTTTGTAGTTTGGGATCCACGGCAAGTGTCAGAGTAACTACGCCACTGAAGAAAACAACCAGACGAAGGAGCTGACCATCACCCGGGTGGTGGATGTGACCAACTGTTTGGGGAAGGCGGCGCTCTACCGGGGGATGGCCACCGCCGTGCTGGACAAGCTCTCCAAGCAGGTTGGTCCGAGTCACCACAGCTACACAGGAATCCCCGATTAGACGTCAAACACTCTGCTTCTGTTTGTGTTCCCTCCTATCTAGAGAGGAGAATCCATCGTTTCCACGGTGAGGTACGTTTACAAGGTGAAACCCACGGCCGACGGGGGTCTCATCACCGGGGTTCATGGCCTGGAGCAGCAGCACTTCAGCCCCTTCAACGTGAAGGGCGGCAGCTTCAAGATGCACGCCGAGTAAGACCAGAAAATGTGTGCACGTTATGCCCGCTCGTCCACCTGCCGGTCTGCAATACCAATCAGGTGCTTTAAATGACTTGTGATGCAGGAAGAAGCTGGATCTGGTCAGCGAGAGCGACGTGGCCGCCATCGTCGTCCCCGCCGGAGGCCTGACACAGAGCAGAGGAGGCCCGGTCTACAAGTTTGTGGATGCAGAGGCTAATGTTCCCCTCGTTATGCAGAACCTGGAAGACGTGGTTCCAAAGGTAGCAACAGTAGACTTCACAACAACATATCAGAGGGCTGCACTACGGAGCAGGTTCGACATAGCCGGGTTTACTTTGTGTAAATCGGCTCGACCTAAACTAAAGCCTCAGTCAGAGATCACAGGTATCACGAAGGTGGTTCAGCTTTCTTTGTCAACTCAGACTTTCTGCTTCATGCTGTGTGTCCACTGGATCCGGCAAACTCCCACTTCCCATTCACTGTGGATGTGAAACGCCCCGCTTCCTGTTCTGGAGCATTTCGAGCGACGAGGCGAAGCGAGGTGTTTATTTGCATAAAGTATACTTGACTTCTACTTTATGCAAATGAGGTGCAGGGAGTGGAGGTCCGACGCCTCGCGAAACTTTTGTTAAACATCCAAACTAGCCGCTGTTGAACTAAAATGAGGACAGATTCAGCAACTGCATAGCCTATTTATCACCTCAAATGTTTTCAGAAATACTTTTTGCTGAACGGTTTTTGTAATAAAAGTGAAAGTTTGCAGCCGAGCCGCCACGTTGGTTCTACAGGACTGGTGTCTGGTGAATGGGAGAGGGCTGTCATGTGACCACCTAGTGGCCTGCTCGTGCACCCGATATTCAGAAGTGACACGATCCCAGGCGGGGAAATCACCCCAGTGGACACGTAGCAATAGACTCAGTGTGTGTTCACATAAAAAGGAAGCATGTAACGCGTCACATGACTCTTCTTCTGCACAAAATGAAACGATGTGCAGCTGCTTCAGTCAACACGTTTTAATGGGAGAACAATGAGGAATATAAAAAAAACGATGACGGTAAAAATTGCTGCTACTGCAAATGGTGAAGACAGAAATGATGGTAGAAAACTGTTAAACATGTTAATGTCTAATATTTTACAAATGCAGCCGCTTATTTCCAACTGACAGCTGTATGTTAAAGTTAAACTTTAAACTTCATACGTTTAAACCTGATCTTGTATTGAAGGTCATTTAGGTCTGACACTGTCCCATAATGCAGGCTATCACATTAATTTTGGCCACTGTAATAAATACCAGTAGAATTATCCATTTTCTATCAGCTGCAGTAGCAGCAGAGTAAAAAGACCTGCAAATCAGAGCCTAACATAAAAACATACGTTTGCAAACTTGATGCATACAGTGTGTGATACTGTAACTACACGGCTTAATTCAGTGATATTACATCAGCATGTTTGCAGATAAAACACATTCCCTCAGCTGAGAATCTGTATCGCTCATAAATAATAGTCAGGAAACGCTCTGGTTAAAGGGAGACGCTCTTTCAGACGATTTAAATCTAAAACTCTGAATATAACCTGCTCCCCATCAGGTTAGCTCCACAGCATCAGTTACCATGGTGATCTAGCTCCATAGCATCAGTTACCATGGTGATCTAGCTCCATAGCATCAGTTACCATGGTGATCTAGCTCCACAGCATCAGTTACCATGGAGATCTAGTAGGTAAAAAGAGCCACCTTCATGACACCGAAACCTCTGGCTTTAAGCGCGACATACCCCGCTAAGTCACTAATCTCACTTCGTAGTACAGCCCTCAGATCCTTAAACCTCAGATTACTCAAACCAGAGTAACAAGATCTGACTTTTTTAGTTTTGAATTGTTCCTCTCCACAGGCCATCGAAC